ATTCGAACCCGCCACCTTAGGTGTATGTGGCTGGCACCTTAGCCGCTTGAGCCACAGGCGCCGAGCCTCTTTCTAATGTTTTATAGTTGCTTTAGCTATATAACAGAGTCTCAAGCTGTTGCCTTGGGTAGAGTGCCATGGCATCATAGGTCACAGCAACCTCCAACTCTTGGGCTTGAGCGATCTTCTTGCCTCAGTTTTTCTATTTTTAGTAGAGATGGGGATCTTGCTTTGTTTAGGCTGGTCTCAAACCCGTGAGCTAAGTAATCCCACCTGCCTCTGCCTCCCAGAGTGCTAGGATTACAGGCATGAGCCACTGTGCCCAGCCCCTAGATGTGCAAATTAACTGCCTTATTACTTTGTGTTGCAGGAGACTGAGTGCCCTCTGCGGCTTGCTGTCTGCCAGCACTGTGATTTGGAACTTTCCATTGTCAAGTTGAAGGAACACGAAGATTATTGTGGTGCCCGGACAGAGCTGTGTGGCACCTGTGGGCGCAATGTTCTTGTTAAAGACCTGAAGACTCACCCAGAAGTTTGTGGGCAAGAGGGAGAGGAAAAGAGAAATGAGGTTGCCATACCTCCTAATGAATATGATGAGTCTTGGGGTCAAGATGGAATCTGGATTGCATCTCAACTCCTCAGACAAATTGAGGCTCTGGACCCACCCATGAGGCTTCCTGGAAGGCCCCTCAGAGCCTTTGAATCAGATCTTTTCCATAATAGAACTACCAGCCAAAGGAATATGACAGCCCAGTTTCCAATTCAGAATAATCTATGTGAGTTGTGTTTGGGATTAGAAAACTGGAATGGTATAAAAATCTTAGGGCAGGCCAGGCATGGTGGATCATGCCTGTAATCCCAAAACTCTGGAAGGCTGAGGCAGGAGGATCCTTTGAGCTCAGGAGTTCAAGACCAGCCCTACTTAGCTGGGCACTGTGGCGGGCACCTGTAGTCCCAGCTACTTGGGAAGCTGAGGCAAGAGAAGCGGATCGCTTGAACTCAGGAGTTTGAGGGGGACAGAATGAGACTTTGTCTCAAAAAAAAAAAAAAAGGACTAGACTGAGCAAGAGTGATACCCTGTCTCTAAAAATAGATAGGTGTTGTGGTGGGTGCCTATAGTCCTAGCTACTTGGGAGGCTGAGGCAAGAAAATCACTTGAGCCCAAGAGTTTGAGGTTGCTGTGAGCTATGATGACACGGCACTCTACCAAGGGTGACAATTGAGACTTTGTCTCTAAGAAAGAAAATGAAAGGAAAAATTACCCAGTGGTGTGGTATGTACCTGTAGTCCCAGTTACTCTGGAGGCTGAGGCAGGAGGATTCCTTGAACCCAGGAATCTGAGGTTGCTATAAGCTAGGCTGATGCCATGGCACTCCAGTCTGGCAACATAGTGCCATGACACTCTAATAATCCCAGGGCAAAGGGCAACAGGGCTTTGGGGCTAGATAGATCTTAATTACAGAAGTCTGACAATAGCTGGGTAACATTGCAAAGATTAGCTAATTTGCCTATAAAACAGAATACTAGGACCTTTTTACTATTGGCTGACAGGACTTTTTTATTCCCCTCAGTAGAGGTCTACAGGTTTAGAGAAATTTCTCTGGTAACAAAGAAATGATCCCTGAAAGTATAGTCTTTTGATGATGATTATAGCTGTAAATTGCTATCACTGTACAGGCTGAATACCCCTTGTCTGAAATGGTTGGGGGTAAGAAGTATTTCAGATTTTGTATTTGGTTGGATTTTGGAATATTTGCATCGTACTTACTAGTTGAGCATCTCAAATCTAAGAGTCTGAAATATACCTGTGAATGTCATGTCAGTGCTCAGAAAGTTGTGGGTTTTGGAGTATTTCAAATTTTGAGTTTCATATACTCTCTGCCTTATGTGCCATAGCCATTTGCAAAGGGCTTTACATGCCAAAACTCATTTAACTCTTACAAGTTATGTGACACTAGGTAAATGGTGGAGCTGAGATTTGAATTCAGTAATCTGACCTCATGCAGTTTTGTTTTGTTTTGAGACAGAGTCTCACTCTGTTGCTTTGGGCAGAGTGCTGTGGTGTCACACCTCATGTAACCTCAAACTTCTGGGCTCAAGCGATCCTCTTGCCTCAGCCTCTTGAGTAGCTGGGACTGTAGGTGTCGCCACAACTTCCGGGTTGTTTTTTAATTTATTATTTTATTTTATTTTTTACTTTTTGAAACAAAGTCTCACTCTGTTACCCTGGGTTGAATGCCATGGCATCAGGCTACCTCACAGCAACCTCAGAATCTTCGGCTCAAGTGATGCTCTAGCCTCAGCCTCCCAAATAGCTGGGACTATGCCCAACTACAATGCCCAATGAATTTTTTCTATTTTTAATAGAGATGAGGTCTTGCTCTGGCTCAAGCTCGTCTGGAACTCCTCAGCTTAAGCAATCCACCTGTCTTGGCCTCCCAGAGTGCTAGGATTACTAGCCCAGTAACTGTTTACTAGGCATGGACTTGAGGGTAGCAACATCTCTAATAATGAGTGCTGGTGTTTTGTTTTGTTTTGTTTTCAGTTGAAGAACAAGAAAGGCGGGAAAGGAACAGAAGCCAACAGCTCCCTAAAGAGAGTGGTGAAGATAGTGCAAATTTGGACTTCATGTTGGCCCTGAGTCTGCAAAAGGAAGGTCAGGCCTCCACCATGGCAGAGCAGGACTTCTGGAGGTCTGTATGTGAGGCAGACCAATCTCATGGCGGCCCCAGTTCTCTGAGTGACATAAAGGGTAGGCTTTCTTATTTTACACTAGCCTCCGTATCTGTAATTTTTGTAAGTCATATGCAATTCATAAAAAATTGAAAGATTTTAACAAGAGAATTTGCTTTATTTTTTGTTGCTTTTCTCATCTTATTTATTTATTTATTTATTTATTTTTGAGACAGAGCCTTAAGCTGTCCCCCTGGGTAGAGCGCTGTGGCATCACAGCTCACAGCAACCTCCAATTCCTGGGCTCAAGCGAGTCTTCCTCAGCCTCCCAAGTAGCTGGGACCACAGGTGCCAGCCACAACGCCCAGCTATTTTTTGGTTGCAGCCATCATTGTTGTTTGGTGGGCCTGGGCTGGATTCAAACCCGCCACCTTAGGTGTATGTGGCTGGCGCCTTAGCCACTTGAGCCACAGGCGCCGAGCTGTCTCATCTTATTTTGAAAAATTGTCATAACCCACATACATACCCATTATCTATATTCAACAATTTTAATAATTTCCTACATTCACCTTTATATATATATTTTTCCCCAAAACCACTTGAGATTAAGTTTAAAGACAACATTTTATTCCTGAATGCTTTAGCATGTCTCTCTTAAGAACAAGGATATTCTCTTAGGTAAGGTAAAATACAAATGTTATCTTCAGGAAATATAACATAAGTTCTCTACTTGTACATAATGCCCTTTAGAACACTTTCATTTTGTTTTCAAAAATGCATTGTCTTTATTTATTTTTGCTTTATTTTAATTCCCCATGCCCTCCCGCCGTATTTTTTTCTTATATTTTAGGAGACTGGCATTTTTAAAGAATAAAGGCCAGTTGTTTTGCAGAATCTTTCTTCCTCAATTTAGACTTGTCTGATTTCTCTTCTTTTTTTTGAGACAGAGTCTCACTGTGTCGCCCTTGGTAGAGTGCCGTAGTATCACAGCTCACAGCAACCTTGCCTCAGCCTCCTGAGTAGCTGGGACTACAAGTGCCTGCCCATAATGCCCAGCTATTTTTTGGTTGCAGTTGTCATTGTTGTTTAGCAGGGCCCTCCAGCCTTGGTGTATGTGGCTTTCTCCGTACTCACTGAGCTATGGGCACCGAGCCTGATTTCTCATATTTGGACTGAGGATATAGTTTTGTAAGGAATGCTACATTGGTGATGATGTGTCCTCAAGGTTATCAGTTTCTCTTATTCATGAAGGTGGGGTCTTTCAGGTATATCTGCTTCATAGGTGGCTTGTCTTCCTTTATAGTAGCTAGTTATAGAGTGTTATTTAAGATTGTTAGGGAACAGGTTATTGGCATAATCTTTTTTTTTTTTTTTTTTGAGAAACAGTGTTGCTGAGTAGATTACCCTGGCATCATAGCTCACAGCAACCTCAAACTCTTGGGCTCAAGTGATTCTCTTGCCTCAGCCTCCCAAGTAG